GCTGGGGAAGTGTATAATTTTGAATATCACTACCACAAAATGCCTTGAAAAGCAATCACTTGATTGAACGCCGCCTAGATCTGCTATTGTGAAATTTTACCTTATAGTTTCAGCAAATCTTTATCACCGAGACAAAACACCACTTTCACCTAATTCATTTTCCTCCTCTCAGGACTCTCCGAGCCCCATAGCCCTGGAGCCCTGCAACGGCAACCGTGCAGCCGTGCTCTCTCTCCTCGTAAGACTGCCGAGCGGTTCGCCGAGCACCGCCCTAAGTTTTCATCCGTAACACGCCGACTTCGCCCACAAACAACCAGTCCAGGTCCTGGTGTCAGCCTGCTGCCGGGTTTGGCAGTGGCCAGCGCCCTGGTTACGCTGGAAACCCCAGGGAAGACCAGCGTCGACCAGGGCATCGGGAAGATTTGAACAACTCGAACGTCACAGTCAATTCTGGGAAAAACGGCAAGAGGAAAAATCAGAGTCAACATCCTGCACGGATGATGCATATGACTATAGGTCGACGGTGTAAAGGACATAGTGATAAAGGATTGTTTTGGTAACAGATTTTTTTATATCATTTCTATCGAATGACAAGATTCGATAGAATCGTGTTTATTAAAGGATTGTTTTGTGTGGGTAATGGTAACAGATATTTTTATATCATTTGAAGGAATGATACATCTTGATCGTGTTCTTTTATTTATAAATGACATTTAGGTTGTGTGTAAATACTGAAAAAGACAATTATTAGGTTTTAAGAAAGGAATTAAGTGACAGTGGGACGATTTTGTGAGGAAAATTTGATGAGTAGTCGTTGTAATAATTGAAACTTAGATAAGATTATAATTATCTATGATTGATTAATGAAATTTTTAATAACTTTGATGAAAGGTTTCTGATTACACAACATATATATATATATATATATATATATATATATATTTATATTAGGTTGTCAAATATCTCCCTTCCGCTTTTTTGCTCTTGGTTTATAATACAAAAAGGCGGAAGGGAGATATTTGACAACCTATTATATATATATATATATATATATATATATTATATTGGGTGGTCCTTAATATGGATGTTTTCGAATTTCCTTGCTCCCAAAGTTTCAAATGGTTCCAAATTAATAAAAAAATAATCTCTGAAAGTTTTAGCTTTTAAAATATCTCCTTAATTAATTCGTTAGTCCGCACACTAACGAATTAAACAATTTTATAAAATATATCTTATAAATATAAATAAGTAAATACAGTGTTTACAAAATTTTGATTCCTAAGTTATAAAATTCAAAAAAACAAATGAAATTGTTTTACCCATTTTATTTTCATAAGAAACTTTGATTGAATTGCGGACTATTTTAAAGTTAATATTAAGAGCTAAAACTTTCAGAGATTATTTTTATATCAATTTGAAAGCGCTTTAGAAGCATTTGAGCCTCTGAGAGCAAGGATATTTGAAAATGTTTATATTATAGACCATCCTAATATATATATACATATATATATATATATATATATATATATATATATATATATATATATATATATATATATATATATTAAGTCCTTAATATGGATATTTCTAAATATCCTTGCTCCCAGAGGCTCAAATGCTTCCAAATTGATAAAAATATATTCTCTGAAAGTTTTACCTTTTAAAATTAACTCTAACAAAGTCTGCACACCAACCAATTAAACAATTTTATAAAACATTTCAATTTTTGTTGTAAATTTTTTTATTGATAATCAAAATAAGCAAATACAATGTTTACAAAATTTTGATTCTATAAAATTATAATGTTTAAACAAACGCAAATACAATGTTTACACAATTTTGATTCTATAAAATTCTGAAAAACAATGAATTTTGACCCATTTTATTTCCATAAGAAACTTTGATTGAATTGCGGACTATCTTAAGGGGGTATTCTAGTGTAAAGCTATGAATTTTAGGTCATTTTTAAAGTGTCGTAAAAGAAAGCAATGAATGTTTTTACTATCCATTTTTTTCACCACTTGTTTATTAATATTATTAAAATACAAAACAAAAATTAAAAAATAAAAAAGTTGAAAATTGTAAAAACAGGCAGCTGATGAAGTGAGTGGTCTCCAAAATTGGCTCCTCAGTCTTGACATCATTTCAGCCCTCCTAGCCATCGGAAATGCAAAAAATGAAAAGATTATTAATCTACAATGATGTCGCAATCGCCCAAACTACTAGCGATGAGTAAACAAAAATGTTTTTTTTGCGATTTGGCGACTGTTTGAAAAAAAAAGTGTTTTTTTACTGTTTTTTTTTTTTGAGTTTCTCGAACTTTTTAAAATAGTAAAATTTGAATTTGGGGATGATGCTAGTTCGGGCTATAGATAGGTCTATAAACAAGACTCTCTGAACATTTCGAGTGAATCGGTCGGTTAAAATTCGAGAAATCGTGTCAACAGTACTGAAAAAGTCTGTTCTGAGGAAAACGCATTTAAAGTTTTGCCTGAAGCCAAATCAGTATGGAGTCCGAGCCAGTAAAATGCCTATTTCTCCGAAAATAATTCAAATTTTCAAAAACCTTCTCGTACCTATATTCTTAGATAGTTAAACTTTGAAAATATGAATTAAAAAAAATCGATTTTTTTGAATTTGCTTTTAAAATTAACTCTAACAAAGTCCGCACACCAACCAATTAAACAATTTTATAAAATATATCAAATTTTTGTTGTAAATTTTTTATCAATAATCAAAATAAGCAAATACAATGTTTACAAATTTTGATTCTATAAAAATCTGAAAAACAAATGAAATTTTACCCATTTTATTCCATAAGAAATTTTGATTGAATTGCGGACTATCTTAAGTTAATATTAAGAGCTAAAACTTTTACAGATTTTTTTTTTTATCAATTTGGAAGCATTTGAGCCCTTGGCAGCAAGAAAATTTCAAAAATGTCCATATTAAGGACCACCCTAATATATATATATATATATATATATATATATATATATATATATATATATATATAACAAAGTCTAGTAATCAGGCATAACATCAATAAAAAACATGAATTTCTTTCAAAAATTTATTTTAAATCCATACGTTTCGGCTATAATCCTAGCCTTCATTCAGTGGAAACTAAAATAAAATTAAAAC